GACGTCGCTTTACAAATAATCGGGCTTACGGTCTTTATTGTCAAGGCAATTATTCGGACAATAACGAGTCGCGGCTCAAAAGCTGCCGAAAGAGCGAAATAATCATCTTACCTTGTGCAATACCGCATTGGCGGGCTTATTACCGGCCAGACTCTCTTTGCTCAAATGCTGATGCGATTCGGCTAAACACTCGACTTCGGCGAATCTCGCGTTGAGGCTCATTGCTGGATGATTGGGGTCCTGGGTGAGATTGAGGTAGGCCGCCCTGCGCAGCTGCTCCTCGATAACGAGCGCCTGCTCGAGCAGCTTGAACCGCCTCGCCAGAAACTTATTTTTGATTTCGAGGAAGTTGCCCTTGCCGACGTCCATTTTAAAGGGCTCGTTGATGATGGCGAACCTTATGTCGTTCTGAATGTCCTGCCAGCGACCGTAACCGTGGGTGACGATGCCCGCCAGGAGCCAGTAGTCGTGCCGCCTATGCCAGATCTCGTATTCGCGGCCCGGCACCGCGGCCTTCTCCTCGTTCAGCCAGAGGGTGTGGAGTTCGGTGAAGCCGCCGTCGGCTATGTTGAACATGAACTTGCGCTTGGGCTTAGCCGCCTCGACTTCGGCCGACTCTTTACTCTCCTTGTCCTCGTCCTTTTTGTCGTTGCTGGCACCGACCGCGTTCATCGTTACCGTTGCCACCGTCGTCGCCGTCGTCGTCGTCGTCGTCGCGGCCGATGCCGATTGTGACGCCGTTGCCGCTTCCTCCTCGTCGTCCTTCACGATCACTACATCCTCCTCGATAGTTGTCTCGAGTTTCGGTTTTGTTTCTATTTTCTCGATCGTTATCGCAGCCTTCTAAAACAATTCGTCACAGCATTAGACAAGCTTTATGCGCGATATTCTATAAAAGCGTCATTAATACACGAATAAACGAATAATAATTTACATTACACTCGTAATTTTAAATACCTCGTCTTTAAGCATTTTCTCCTCCTTAAGCTCAAGTTTTTCAACCTCCTTCACATCCGTTTTTTCGGGCTCCTTGGTGTCCAGCGGCAACTTCTCCAGCTCCGGGGCCGAGTCCTTCTCCTCTTTCTTGGCATCCAGCTCCTTGACCTCGTCCTCGGAGCGCAGCCCGGGCTTCTCCTCGTCCTTGGACTCCTCTTTAACGGAGATCTCTAATATGTCCTTGTCCTTGGCATCGTCAGCGATCACATCCTTGTCCTTGGTCTCCTCTTTAGCCAGGGCGATCACGTCCACTGACGAGGCGGCGGCGATGCTAGTTGCCGGACTCGGACTGGGTGCATTCGAGGTTGCCGGTGTCGTACCGCCGGTGCTACTGGCCGATCCCGTGGCCACGCCGTCCATCGTCGTGGCGATGGCTGGAACTCCGGCCACCATCGCGCCCTCGCCCGACTTTACCGGCTCTACGGGCTTGCGAATCATTTCCGGCATCGAGTAGTAACCGTTTATGTGCTCGAACTCCTGGACTTTCTTACGTATGAGCGACATGACGCCAATGCGCGTGAGCACGTGCTGGCGGCTCAGACCCTCTCGTGGCACACCGTCGGCAAAGGTTTCCGCGTTATCGGCCCCGGGCTCACACAAGTGGCGCATAAATAGCGACACGTAGGCTTTGAAGTTCTTCTCTGATTTACCTGCAATTTCGATTAATGTTATTAGCTTTGCGAAGCGTCGATCATTGTCCTGTCTCTATTGAAAAACGAAAAATTAAAGAACAAAATGCCTCAGCAGTCCGCGGACTTGAAGCTTTAAAAATATAATGGGAAAATAATATCTGAGGCTCGGTATTTCCCAACAATCCGATAAACTTAATTGCGCAGAACTTTTTTTTACACGAGCATTAAATGGACAAACGGGACAGCGACGAGATTGATCTTTTAACTATATATCATTTAAGTATTTAAGCGATCGTAGCATCGAAGCAGTTTCGTAAACAACGGAATAGACTAAATACGAAGTGTATAATGAGAGGGAAA